CTTTTGTTCCGGCCCTCCGGTCCAGTTTAAGAACCCATTGTGGCCCTCGAGTCAAAAAGTTTGCCCACCCCGGCAGTCTAGACTGTGAGGTCCTTGAAGTCAGGAACCATGTGGCTTTCATCTTAGCGTGGGTTCTCACATGTAGTAAATGCTCAGTAAAATTTTGTTGAAAAAATGGTTTGAGATGTACAATTATAGTTAAAGCTATTTGTGAAACCACTTCACCTGTGTTTGAAAGAGCTATCAAGCATCTTTCAAGTAGTTTCTGAGTGTGTGTTTGCTGTTGCATCTGTAAGAGCAAGGGAAGGAAGAGTGGAGGGAGGGATTGGAGCAAATCAGGGGGTAGCTCTTATGAACAGGAAGAGTACCAGCTATGAAAGGGGCCAGGATCTGCTTACAGAGAATTGGTTTCTGGGGAATATAATTGTTTCAGTTTAGGATCCAATCTGGAAACAAACATACTCTAGTTATTTTAGCAAAGAATTTAACATGAAAGGCAAAAAGGGAACCCTGAGGTTTGGGAGGGATAGTAACACCAGGACACAGCTGGGGGAGCATAGGGCAGAGGTTGGGTCTCCTAGAATCTTGATGTTGGAAGGAGGCTGGGCCTCAGACCTCTGAGATGGAGTGCTGTCCACTAGGGCTGAGGATTCTGGAGCTTAGAGCGGGTGTGCCCAGCCGCCACCTTCTGCAGAACTGAGCTTTCTGAGAAGTGGATGTCGCCCACTGGTGCTGATATTTGTGAGGGGTAGTGATGAGGCTGGTGCTGTGAATGTGGAAAGAACTCAGAAACTGGAATCAGTTGCTGGCTGGGTAAAAGTACAAAGTCCCTTCTCCCTGCTCCTGCCTCAGTGATTCTCCATTCAGAGCATTCTACTCTCAGAACCCACCAGGGAACTGGTTGGAAAAGGAGAAATGGTGGCTTGCAGAGTTCCAGCACCAGTGTCACAAAGTGGAGTATGGAAAGGTTCATATAGAGCAGAGAGACACCAGCCTAATGACCAGCATAGTAATGTGCATTCAGCATTAGGGTTTGCCAGCCATGGATACATATTTGGTTGGGAAAATTGCAAAGAGGCATTAACAGCTTTTCTAAGTCACTCAGCAAATTGGCACATTAATAAAATGTTTTATATACATATACATATTAAATTCAGCCAACACTGACTGAGCACCACCTCTTTAGAGGAAGGTAGGAACTTCTAGAGTGGAGTTGGCAGCACACAGTTATGTATATCTTGGGAAAACATTTTTCTTCCCCAAATCTCCTAGCCCGTGGTCAGCAAACCGTGGCTCGTGAGCCACGGTTTGCCGAGCTGCAGTTTGCCGATCACTGTCCTAGACAGAACGAGATGGGTCGATAGTCTACTTAACTTAATAATTCTTTAGTCTGTAAGATCTTCAGGCAAAGGAGTAGTGAATGATGAACAATCATTATGAACAATCTTACTTGATTTAGGATCTTAAAAACAAGGGTGAGTTTCAGTCCTTTTGCCATCTTTCATAGTGCCTTGCATAGTCCAGGAATGCAGTAAGTGCTTTCAATTTGTGGTTAGACAGCTTCCGTGTAGTTGTTAACCTCAGTACGATTTGGAACCATAGATTTTTGCACAAACACGAGCTCTCTGCATCTCTCTCTTTGCATATGCCAGTATAACCTAGCTTTTCCACGACACTGCCTGTCCCTGGAAAGCCCAGTGTGGATTTTGTGAGGCCACACCAATTACAGCTGATAAGTGTTGCAATACTCCTTTCTGAAATAAGCAAATACTCAGGCAGCTTCTCTAAATAGACATCTTCCAGAGCACAAAGTGACAAGCTCATGCCCCTGGAGTGTAAAGGGATGAGAGGTAGATAAATTCTCTTTGAAAAGAAAGTAAGGGGGTAAAGTGCCTGGGTAAGTGAATAGATAATGTCTTCTTCATGTTGAGGTAGTACACACAGAACAGCATGAAAACACTCCCACTGGTTGCTGATGTGTTGGCTGGCCAATGACTTTAGGGTTTCATGGGGTGTCCTGTGTCCTGGGTGGGGGTAATTAGAAAAGAGTAAGCACTAATCATGAGTACTAGACAGTGCTACACAGCCAAGTATTTCCAGCATCAGGAGACAGTCAGGCTTGGTTGGATTTCTGGCCCTACCCTAATACCATTGACTCTTCAGTGTATCTTTCAGGGCTGAGTCTAAAGTCAGAGCCATATGTATGCAGGGCAATATAAAGGAAAGCCAATTGCTTCAGTGTCAG